TTATAATCGAATATGAAAGAATAATCGACTATGATTGGTCTAATTTTTACGGCTTAAAGCTTAAATCACCTATTGTGGACCGACACTTACGGCGCCAATACAGGCCACGATTCGTCAACGTGGAAGTATATGTGTTACGCACTCCTGCGCCGTTGCGGTTTCATTCGTGATGGGAGGGGTTGGGAGAAGGGGTGATGCGCGAGATCTGCCACCGAATCCAATCGTGTCAAATCGTTGCTTGTATTCTTCCGCTGGTGTCGGGGCGCTCGTGTGCCGAGCTCGACTCTCCGCTAACGTCGTGTAATCGTCGGTGTTGGTCATCCGGGAGAGAGGAGAGAACAATCCTCGGTGGGGACATTCCTTGATCGATCGTGATCATTGACATTTCGACGCGCGACAAAAAGTTTCTCGTAACAGCGACGATCTTCCAAACGAGGGGGAACCTCATACGTGGGAACTATTTCGAGAAAAAGGGGCGGCGTTGATGGCGTCAGCCATGATGGGTGTCAGCGGCAAGTAGCGACGTTATCTCGTACTTCGTCAGTTGATTTCGCGCTTCGACGAATTGATGTTGAGTATCTCAGTGAACAGAGAAGCGCACACGACGACCGGAAACAGTTTCGCGAGTAGAAAAGCACGGTTGTGGGTTGCGCGCTAACCACACACGGAGTTGATCGAGCCACACGAGCGGGGACAGCGCGGCTGGGAACCTCTCCCTTTCTATCTCTTTCCCTCTCTCCTCGGGACTCCGGAAATATCGTGGTGAAAATGACGCAGCTACTACCTATAAGGTTCCAGGAACACCTACAGGTACGTCATCGTTTCCATCCCGCGGCAGGATCTCGCAATGGGGAACGCGTCGCCATCGTCGAGATTTATCACGTCGGCTTTCTTCTCGAGAGAGACCGGACATTTTCTCTGTCCCGCATCTATCTCTTTCTCTCTCTTCCCTTTCCATCTCTCTTTTCCATCTTTGTCTCTTTCTTTTTCGCATACATTCGTCGGTATATCGACGATTTACTCGCTCATCTCTCCACCTGGAACGGAAGTAGAATATTTCGGGGTGACGTTACTTTGACAGCTACCCCCTCCCCTCCCGCTGCGTACATCCGCGTGCGAGACCCGATGACGTTACACACACAAGTCCGTCGATCTTTCACGAGGGATTTTGTGGCAGGTTATCCGTGATATCCGCCTGAAATTGATGAGATACTACGGATTGGAACGAGCGCATTCGACTCTCTTCTCTATCTCTCTCTTTTTTTCTCCTCCGATGAGTCGAACGCCGTCGTCGGATTTGTATACGCCCCTCGTTTCCGCTTTTACCGAAATATTCTCCTTTTATCAGATATTTTCCTTCCATTATCCCGATTACCAAATGAGTAAAAAACTGGAAAATTTTTTCGTTCCTTTCCACGTTGTCTGTGTAGACTCGTTTTGAAATGATGAACATTAGTGCATTATTTATTTGTATTTTGTATATCAAACTCAAAGACACGCTTTATTTGACTAACATATGGTTATTACTATAACTTCGTACATCAGAATTTCATGAAGATTCTATTGTATTTTCCTGATTATAATTGCATTAAACATGATTGTTGAAGATTAATACACATGCATATTGATTATTTTTGAATAATAAGGAGTATATTGTTAATAAAGTTAATAAAGTTGATTTGATATATGAATTGATAAATGAATATATGAATATATGAAATGAATACATGAATTGAATAAATATATTTTATCTCCAGAAAATGATATAAAATCGATTATGTCAATAACAAGATTGTGATGTATTAATTAAAAAAATAATTATACAATTTTGAACTTTTAGGGTGCAAGGCTATCTATATCTTTTATTTTTACAGCTTACAGCTGTAGGGATTAACGCCAGTAATGTCAGCTTTAATACACTCACCATGGAATCTGATAAATTCATTTGTGTTAGGGAAAAGGTTGGTGATACTGCCCAGGTAGTCATTATCGATATGAATGATTCTGCCAATCCTATCAGAAGACCGATATCTGCTGATTCTGCAATTATGAATCCAGCTAGCAAAGTCATTGCTCTGAAAGGTATGTGCATTCCCCATGTAAACATGTTTTGATTTTAGAGAAGTGTTGAATGATGGAAAATGAACGACCAATCCAAATTTGAATCTTCAAATTTAGATTTTTACATTACTTGTAGTTCAAAAAGCAATATTGTATTCTGTTGTACACCTTTTTCTAAAGTAAGTCTTGTAATGATGTAAAATAATTTGTAGCAATAATTCTGTAGCAATGAGAAAGAAATATACAAGAAATATGAGAGTTACTAAGAGAAATATTTATTTCTATTTGATTAGCTATGAAGACGCTTCAAATCTTTAACATTGAGATGAAGTCGAAGATGAAAGCCCATACAATGACGGAAGACGTAGTCTTTTGGAAGTGGATATCACTGAATACATTGGCATTAGTGACGGAGACTGCAGTGTATCATTGGTCCATGGAGGGTGATTCAACGCCAAATAAAATGTTTGAACGTCATTCGTCGTTAAATGGCTGTCAGATTATTAATTACAGGACGGATCCAAAGCAAACGTGGCTTCTATTGATTGGTATTTCAGCACAACATAACAGAGTAGTTGGCGCCATGCAACTTTACTCGGTGGAACGAAAGTGTTCGCAGCCAATCGAGGGACATGCCGCCTCGTTCGCTCAGTTTAAGATGGAAGGAAACGCGGAGCCCAGTAATCTATTCTGTTTTGCTGTTAGAACGGTACAGGGTGCGAAGCTTCACATCATCGAGGTGGGTCAGCCACCTGCTGGTAATCATCCGTTTCCTAAAAAAGCGGTAGACGTATTCTTCCCACCTGAGGCTGGGAACGATTTTCCTGTCGCCATGCAAGTCAGTTCCAAATACGATGTCATATATTTAATTACGAAATACGGTTATATACATATGTATGATATCGAATCCGCAACTTGTATATTTATGAATCGTATCTCGGGAGAGACTATCTTCGTCACTGCACCGCACGAAGCGTCCGGTGGTATAATAGGAGTAAATCGGAAGGGTCAAGTCTTGTCTGTGTCTGTGGATGAGGAAAATATAATTCCGTATATCAACGGAGTGTTGCAGAATTCCGAACTGGCGCTGAGAATGGCTGTACGAAACAATTTGTCAGGAGCAGAAGACTTGTTTGTAAGAAAATTCAATATGCTCTTCCAAAACGGTCAATACGCGGAGGCGGCAAAAGTCGCAGCTAATGCACCAAAAGGAATACTCAGAACACCCGCGACTATCCAACGATTTCAACAGGTCCCTACGACTCAAGGTCAAACATCTCCTCTTCTACAATACTTTGGCATTCTTTTGGATCAGGGACAGCTAAATAAATATGAATCACTAGAGTTGTGTCGACCAGTATTAGTTCAAGGACGTAAACAGTTGCTGGAGAAATGGTTGAAGGAAGATAAGTTGGAATGCAGCGAGGAATTGGGGGATCTGGTGAAACAGGCGGATCCTACGTTAGCGCTTAGCGTTTATTTAAGAGCCAATGTTCCCAACAAGGTTATCCAATGCTTTGCAGAAACAGGACAATTTCAGAAGATTGTATTGTATGCGAAGAAAGTTTCATATACGCCCGATTATATATTCCTCCTACGAAATGTCATGAGGATTAATCCTGATCAGGGTGTGGCATTCGCGCAGATGCTGGTTCAGGACGACGAACCATTGGCTGACATCAATCAGATCGTTGATATATTTATGGAACAAAACATGGTGCAACAGTGCACGGCGTTCTTGTTGGATGCGCTTAAAAACAATCGACCGAGCGAGGGTGCCTTACAGACCCGTCTTTTAGAAATGAATTTAATGTCTGCCCCGCAAGTGGCTGACGCTATATTGGGGAATCAAATGTTCACCCATTATGACAGAGCTCACGTTGCGCAGTTGTGCGAGAAGGCTGGCTTGTTGCAACGTGCTCTCGAACATTATACAGATTTGTACGACATTAAAAGAGCGGTGGTACATACGCATTTGCTGTCACCTGATTGGCTTGTGGGTTTCTTTGGTACTCTATCCGTAGAAGATTCTCTCGAATGTTTGAAGGCTATGTTGACGGCCAATATAAGACAAAATTTACAAATCTGTATCCAGATCGCGACCAAGTATCACGAGCAATTGACGACCAAAGCTCTGATAGATCTCTTTGAGAGTTTTAAGTCTTACGAGGGCCTGTTTTACTTCTTGGGATCTATTGTGAACTTCAGTCAGGATCAGGAGGTACATTTCAAGTATATTCAAGCGGCATGCAAGACAGGCCAGATCAAGGAGGTGGAACGTATATGTCGGGAGAGTAACTGTTATAATCCGGAACGTGTAAAAAATTTCCTGAAAGAAGCAAAACTGTCTGATCAATTGCCTTTGATAATAGTATGCGATCGATTCGACTTTGTTCACGATCTCGTTCTCTATCTTTATCGCAATAACTTACAGAAATACATCGAGATATATGTTCAGAAGGTAAATCCATCGCGTCTACCAGTGGTGGTCGGCGGTCTACTTGACGTTGATTGTTCGGAAGATATCATCAAGAATCTGATATTAGTGGTGCGCGGGCAATTCTCCACTGACGAACTAGTCGAAGAAGTGGAAAAGAGAAACCGACTCAAACTCTTGCTGCCGTGGTTGGAATCTCGCGTTCATGAGGGCTGCGTGGAGCCGGCTACGCACAACGCACTGGCCAAGATTTACATTGACAGCAACAATAATCCCGAGAGATTTCTCAAGGAGAATCAATTCTATGATAGTAGAGTTGTTGGGAAATATTGTGAGAAGCGCGATCCTCATTTAGCTTGCATCGCGTATGAGCGTGGCCAGTGTGATCGTGAGTTGATAAGCGTGTGCAACGAGAACAGTCTGTTCAAGAGCGAGGCCAGATATTTGGTGAGACGTAGAGATCCCGATCTTTGGGCAGAAGTGCTATTAGAGAGCAATCCGTACAAGCGACCATTGATTGATCAGGTCGTTCAAACAGCATTATCCGAGACGCAAGATCCCGAAGATATATCAGTTACTGTCAAGGCTTTCATGACGGCTGATTTACCTAATGAGCTGATCGAACTTCTCGAGAAGATAGTATTAGACAGTAGCGTATTCAGTGATCATCGTAATTTGCAGAATCTCTTGATATTAACAGCCATCAAAGCCGATCGTACGCGCGTCATGGAATATATTAATCGCTTGGATAATTACGATGCTCCGGATATTGCCAACATTGCTATTAACAATGAACTTTATGAAGAAGCTTTCGCGATTTTTAAAAAGTTTGACGTTAATACATCGGCTATCCAGGTTTTAATTGAACAAGTTGGCAACTTGGATAGAGCTTACGAATTTGCAGAAAGGTATT